ATTTTGCCTCGAATGGTACACCATGGTAAACCTGATCGAACGCCATGAGTTTTTCACAGATCTACGTGCCCCAGTGTCTAGTTTCAGAAACTGAAAACCGCAGGTCTTTAGATCTTTTCGTTCCGGAGTTATAAGCGTTTTGTTCACTCATCTTCTATTTTGAAATGGATAGTAGTAAGTACACAGCAGTTGCAGTGAGTGAAAGAATAGGGACAGATAATCCTTTTTATTTTACTGTTCCACAGTTGGAATTTTCTTTTAACGTGTTGGGTATATCGAGCCTTTCTCAGAAAATATACTATATCTAAGGACTTCTGCGTTTCTTTTCTCAATCGATGCCTACTGTGCAAAGGTCTCGAGATAAAAATGCACAGAAGTGAGAAAGGCTTTAAATATTAAGAGTAAAACTATTGGTCGATACGGACAAGATCGCTTTACTGTTACTGACTTTCAGAATGTAGCAACGATCAGTTCGGTTCTGTTTGACGCACAGAGGATTGGGGCTCAGCCATTCCGCCTCATTCACAGGATATTAGATTGGTTCTAATAACGAACTGATCCTAGCGAAGATATCACCGGGTCCTGAAACCCGATAATATCTCTGAAAGTTCGAGCTTGCGATTGAAACTAAGTTAGAAATAAGAATCACAAATTTTCCAGAAGTTCGAAAAACTGTAGTTTTTATGACAAGTAGAGAGCATGTTTACAAACAGAATTGCGGTGTACTTATTTTAAGCTCAACCTCGAAACGAGTCTGAGGTGATTAACTCACTCTGATTACATTATGCTCCCGAAGAGAAAACTGGGTACAACATGATGAAATCATCGCCTCAACTGCCTGAAGAAACACTTTATTTTGAGAGATCTTCTTGAATCAAAAGTTTTTCAATCAAGAAACCAAGATTCTGTTGAGCGAAGCAGAATACTGGCCAGAAAACAAGATACTGGTCTCGAAATAAGCAGGTACCTGGCCAGGAAATCAGATGCAGGTCTTGAATTCTTATCCTGTTCTCGAAAAAATCAGTATACTGGTCAGGAAACCAGTAATCTGTTCTTATCACATTTCAGCAATCTGACTGGGTTCCTGATCAGGTCATCTGATCTTCCACTAAAGTAGTGCTATCTTGGAATGTAGTTCTTAGTTTTTCACATGGTTCTTGTAAGTCTGTTGAGAGCTATCTTTTACAAGCACTACGCCACGGTTTTAATGGTCTCCAAGCTATTTTTAATTACGCTTTTTCCATTTTCATTGACCCCAATCCACACTTTCAGAATATGCACGTTTTGAAGTATCAAACATACTATTATATACAACGTTCATTCCTCTACAAAATGAGATGTTCTGCACGTTACATTCCTTAGGCAAATGAAATCACATCAAAAACTGGAAAATAATGCATTAACAGCTAAAAGATACATAATTTCACTGCTGTTGCTGTACAAAAATTCTGTATTGTGTCGATTGAATTCTATTTGTTCATTTCTATATTTCTTATATTTTTAAATTTTAGTTCACTAGCCCTCTAGCATTCGACTATAGATTTAGATATCTTAGACATATCTCTATTGGCATTTGCTTCACATTTGGTACACTTTTCATCACAGAACCGAGAAAACAGAAAAAACAAAACGTAATATCCACTAACAAAATGGCCTAAAGATAGAAGAAGAAACAGTCTGCTATATTTAAAAATAAGTGGCAGAGTAGTCTGAAAGTGTAAAAATATCTTTTCTCTTTTCTGTGAAGAAAAATGTCAAGCCAATGCTTCACACACCCATATTTCTACTTGTCTCTCTCTATCATGAAGCTTTGAACGTTCTATGCTTTAGTATTTTTCAGAAGACTGACTATGAACAGATCCTTGGAACCTAGAAAACCGCCAGATGTCGGACTAGATGTGAATGTTTTAAAGTTTTTCAAATGACACAGTCTTACTCGGAATTAAATGGTCGTCGAAACGACGCGTCTCTCGTTTTTTGCGGCTAATCTTCATGGAAATGCAGAACACTACCGAAAGAATTACCCACTAAGAAAAGGAAAAACAGCTTTAACCCTAACAGTTTGGAGCAATGGTCAAACGAAGTTACTAAAGAGCCGCTAGAAACTGTTATTAGAACCAGAAATTAGGAGAAACCTGACCATTAACGGCCCGAATTATGATACTATATCGCGCCTTTGTATTGATGATATTTCTGTGACTACATTTCTTTTTCATACAGGACATTTGTGCGTCTTTCTCGATAGACGAATAGTCTAATTTGTATTCATTGGAATCGGTGTATATACGACTAACATAGATTATCTCCATCTAACAACTAATTATCGCAATCGATATATATTTTTTTTCTTCACTTGTCTAAGCAGACTGATAGCATAGGAAAAGTAGCTATGTTTGATTTCATTCCCTTTGCGTGGGCTATATATTTCTTATATATATAAATACGTTTATTTTTCTGTCATCAGTTAAGTTTATATCATCTCTCTTCCAGTGAATAATCACAACTGATTTAGATATCACTTCTCACGAAATGTGGTCGCCTCAAGTTATAAATTTCAAATTAAGAAATGGAGAAATATTTGGTGTTTTTTTTGATAATCTCATGAAATATCCCGACACTTATCTCTCAACAATGGTCTCACATGAATCTGCTGGTCATTTCAAGTCAACAAATGAACAAGGTCAATTTGTAGTCGATGAAGATCCAGATATTTTCAAATCAATTCTACAATTTTATCGTCGTGATTGTTTTCAATTGCCAAAACAATATAGAATGATAAAAGAGAGAATTATACAGAAATATTTATTGCCATGTAATGCATGTGACTCACTTAGTGGAAATTTTCATTATATTGCAATCGAAGAGCAAGACGGACAAGATATAGGTATGTAACTTTTTTCAAAAATGACAGATCAACATATAGAGAGAAAAAGTATAGATAGTACAGAATAGATGCTAGGTTTTTTTCCGCATACAGATTTGTGACGTCACTTCATAATACTACGCGTTTTTTTTTATTTACTTTTAAGGATATCATGTTGCTAATGATGACAAATCATATTTGAGTAGTTATTGTCGTGTAACTCCAGACCTAAAAGATGAGATTAATGGTGTTAAATGCATCGGAAATTGTCTTTACCAAGCACATTATGTCGATATAATTAATTATTTATTTAAATGTGGAGATGCGATTGAAAAAATTAAATTTAAACCTAGTGCGTCCATTACAATGAAGAAAAAAGTTTAAAGTTATATGACATTCATTTTACCGTTTCCAAAAGCTGCGGAAAACAGTGCGCAGTGCTAAAGTCTTGTGTGTCAACGGAAGCTTTCTTGTGAAATAGGTAAAGAGTGATATGTAGATAATAAAACTATACTCGACGTCTAACGTATATCGTATCTTCTTTCCATCTTCTTGATCTGTTCTGTAGTTATTGATAAAGCGAAAGTTGAAATTCTGCAAAGATACCGCTCGTCTCGCGTCTGGAGCAATCTGCATAAGGCCAATATAGAGTAAAATGCCAGGTTGTTTTTTTAACCTTTAATTGCTTTTAGAATCGAAAGCAAGAGCTGCAGTTTGCTCATTTCTTTGTATCATTTCTTGGTGATGTAGAACAGATGTGTTTTGGGACGTTTTCTTTTTTGACTATCGGTCATTTACCTGTGAGATCACACTGCGTATCAAGATCACACTGCAATCTCTGTTCTGTTATATAGTCCAAAATTGCTGTATCTTTGTCCGTGGTTAAAGTGTTTCTAGTCTATCTCTTTGTTACAACATAAAAAGTCCTTCTGCTGAACGTCTTAGGGATTGACTAAACTATTCGGAAAAAATATTCAAATTGTATTAAGTTGAACTCTTCTTGAACTCATACGAAAAAACTATTCTGACTACTATGTTTAGACAAAACAAAGAAGACGAAACATCAGTTTTACTGGCACCAAGAACAACGTGAATCATTCAACAATTTGAGGAAAATTCTTATAACACCACCACTATTGTTGAAATACCCACATCCAACAGCGGAATTCATCTTGGCAACGAATGCTTCAGAATATGCCATTGGCGGTGCGTTGAAACAAATAATCGACGGAAAAACTCATTACAATTATTACTTGAGCCGATTCTTATCGCCAACTGAAAAGAAGTACAAAACAATTGAGCGAGAAGCATTGGCAATATTCTGGTGCATGAATAAACTGCAACAACACTTGGGTGGCCGAGATGTCATGATTCATACTGACCACAAGCCACTCGAACAATTCCACAAAAAGAATAAATTCAACTGTAAACGAATAGAGGAATGGCTTTTGATGCATCAAGACATCATTTCCCAAACGATCGACGTGAAATACAAGAAAGGATGCTGGCATGGCGATGCTGATGGCTTCTCACGTCCAGTCTTTCTGTCCTGAGTTACTTAAATTAATTAAAAGTTAAAGTTTTAAAAACTAAAATTTTATTTTAAAATTTCAACTTTTCGCTGATGATCTGAATTTCTTTTGAAATATAGCTCTAAGTTTTTCTAGAAAAGCTTTTTGTACGAGCTAGGCTAAGGTTCAAGTTTGGCTCACTTGGCTGACAATCGAATTTGGAAGATTGCCGTTTTATTAAGTTAATATTTTTCCAGAACAACTAGACGATCAAAAACTTTGTTTGAAAAGTTTGTATACAGTTTCTTATACGACGTTACACGAATCAATCAGACGTAAGCAGTGCTGTGGGGAAAAAATATCCAATTGAACGTTCAATAGATCCAAATGTGTACGCTGGTCGAGAAAGTGGATCCCAAAATTTGAGCACTGTTCAGCTGCTTTCGAGAAAACCAGTATTTTTTTGTCACGTTAGACGGGAGTTGGAAAATGAAACTCATACGTTCTCAATGGAAACGTTACAGAAATTGGCTGACGTCTCATTTTGCTCACAACTGAACGGACTGTCGATTGATGTAATTTTGAAAAAGTTTGGAGGCTTCTGAACTCCTGAGGTTTTACAGAAAATCTTGGTTTTATAGCGATCTTTCAGATATGTCACTGATTGGCTGCAGTAATTTTTCTCCAGATCGTTCGTTTTAGACCGAAACAACGGTTCTAAGAAAGGGATAAGGGACTAAATGAAGTGGAGAAAAATAGCCATTTTGGCTGGAAAAATCGTCTTTCAGCTGGAGATGTGTTTTCTGCATTACTTTTTTTCGTCGAACGATAGTGACCTGGGGTTTTCACCATTGAAATCAGCATCCAAAACTACATTACAAAATGTGCTTTTCGTAATTGACGCAGATGATCGATGTATTGATGGTAGCTTTCATATAGATTCACACCAGAGCAACAAAAGTTAGAGTAAGGAAGGGGTGTGAATTGTTATACCCATCTCCTTTTATTCCAACAATTGAAACAGAAAAAAACAAAAGACTTCCTTCTTGTAGAGAAAACCTCACGATATATAGACGTGAGAGAGAGAGAGAGAGAGAAGAGAATCTGAACACAATGAATATAGCTATGATAAGAGAAGGAATGATGACAGAGAGAAGGAATGATGATAGGGAGAAGGAATGTACAAGTCAAGTTTTGAACAAGTTAGGTAACATACACTCACTATACCTGGAATCGAAATTTACTATAATACGGTGTCAATAGAAGTAAAAATAGAAAGAATTGAACAATACACACTAGACTATCCTTTACTATTTAATGCAATTATGAATTAGAATACATTCACCAAAATCTAACAACAACAGTACATTCATAAAATCGGACCGAAACCGATCAATTTTTTTATATGTAATTAAAGTTAGAATAAACGTAAAACTCTTTGCCTTTATCATTCAAACACGCCTCACTCTAGTTCACTTTCTATATTCTATCCATTACAGAGTTCATGTAAACAGATTTTTCAGTTCGTGGACTATAAAAAAGTAGTTCAGTACAGTTCACAACATAAAACAACATGCTTTTTACTGATTCCTCGGTTCAAGTGAATCCAAAACTTTTTTTCGAGTGTAGACCAGAGACCGAAACGAGTCGAATATTCGTCGAGTCAATTCTCCATTACTTATCGCGCTTCTCCATTACTTATCGAAGGTTATTTCCCATTGGCCGATAAAAATAACCAATTGACGGCTAGCAGGAATTTTGAAAAAGGCTAGCCGTCAGATCAAAACCTGTGTAAAAACGACAAAATGGCTGCCAAAATAAAGAGATTTTCGAAATAAAAGAGCAATGAAGCTGTTTTAAGAAAAATCTCCTGCTTTTTAACGAAAAGTTCTTGATTTTGACAAATTGGATTTGGGCACCCTGATCCCGAGGCTTACAAAGCTTACGTAATGTTTTCTCAGACTGCTTTCACCATGTTTTATCCGGTTTTTTCTTCGGGAACATGATGCAAGAAAGCTATCTTGTTCACTGAGGGCTCAGTTAGAGAGTGACCTGAAACAAGATACAGAGTAATTTTATTTATTTCCGTTTCGCATGCAGAAAATCGCTCATGTTCTTTTATATAACTGTATATTTATTGTAGTACAGCACATTGGAAAATAGTTTTCCATATAACGGACTCTGATAACATCTATGAAATAGAAATTCTTAAAAGAAAAGAAAAAAACCAGTATCGATATATTTTCTCACTAAATGGTACAAAGTTTGTACCATTTAGACAAATTGTTACACAAAGACGTTCTAACCTGGATCCGGCGACTGTTAACAATATTATTTTATTACGATCAGTTGAAAATAATAAGTTAAAAGATTGAGTTTTGTGAAAAGAAAAATCTGTTTTTTAATAAACTAAAACTTCACTGGGTCGAGTCGAGTCTAGTCGAGCTCGGTACTGTTTCTGTCGAACCGAGTCGAGTCGAGTAAAGGTTTTTGAAAACTTAGTCAAGTCGAGTCGAGGCGAACGCAAAACCCAAAAAACTGACTCGTTTCGGCCTCTGGTGTAGACCAGTCCATGGTCTTGAAAGTTTGAGTTCAGTTCAGTCCGGGTGCATGAGCTCAAAACATTTTCGGCGCAGTCCAGTCAATATGAAGATCTAATATAATCGAAACAACTTATTTAAATAAACAGAGAATTGTGCAAAAGTCATCTGAGCAAAGTTTCGACATTTTACGCACATATGTATGTATACGTCCGATACTTATTCTTGCACATGCTTTTGGCTATGGTATCTTCCTTTGATTACTTATGCTTCAAACAGTAATTGTTATTGTACTTTCTAGTTCGATATATAAATATCACAAATCTAACTTTTAAAGAGTTATTGTTTTAAGCTGTTTTAAGGATGGACAGTAACGCTGGGCCTATTGCATGAGTTAGTCTCGGCTATACCATAGATACCCGGACCATTTTTCTGAAAGTGGATGCTTAAGAGTTTGGAGGCCACGGTCTATCCGTGACCCACGCCAACAAAGGTCCTACACAGGTGCGAGTAAGGCTTAAACCTCGAGGTTTCTACTACCAAACAATAAAAAAATATTCATTTTGAAAAACATATAACCAGCAGAGATGGGATCAGTTCGTGCTTTTCTGCAACCGATATGAACGTTTCAACGTGAAATGTATCTGCCGAAATCCTTTTATCAAAAAATAACAACTCAGATGCTATACAAGATTGAATCACTACGATCGAAGCTGAAAAATATTAAGTTGTGTTTTATTTGAGCTTTTGGGCGTTTTCATATTCAAAATTCGATTTGTGAGATGGAAAAAATTTTATCTTCTCATCATTTTGTTTACTTAGTAGTTATTTAATTATTGAAAACGTGAATTTCAATCAGAAGAAATGTTCAAACTGCAGTTTTTACAGACTAGGAGATCAGCAAAAAGGAATACTTATAACTATCTGAAAAAAGGGTCTTTGTTGTTTCTGCTTTGTCTGTAAGATAGCAAGACTTTTACAGAAAAAAAGTTATATGCGATATGTCTGAGGCTTTGTTGAACGAAATCGTTATAGTAAATTTTAAATTGAGGGGTTTAGTGCTTTAATCTCTCCTCTTAGTCAACCTGGCTATATCAAGAAAAACAGTTCCCTCGTTAGTCAAACTTAAGTTCCATATCTGTAAACTATTATGTCAGTAACGTGTGTGAACCCGTAATTTGAAATCTCAAATTCTCGCCTAAAGTGATACTTACCTTGCCGCATCAAAATTTTCTGGTGATTGTACATTTCGAAATCTTAATATCAAACCAACATAAAACAGAACGTATGACAAAACAGTAAGTTGTTTAAACAAATGTGGAAAATATGTGCCACATTTTCCCCACAGTGTTAAATTATCTTGATTCAAAAACTATAATTACAGACTCGAAGAGTTTTAATTAGCTTTTCCGTTTTATACTTACATAACGAAATTCTTCAAGCAGCATACAGCTAACGAGCATTATAAGCAAGATTTCTGTCCAATCGAACGAAGGTAGTCCATCTGTAGGCGGATCAAATGTAAATAACATCACGTAACTGAATAGTAATAGTAAAAGTATAAATTGCACCTAGACCGAAAAAAGGCGAATGAGTTTGTCTGCCGGTGTCGAATCAAAAAAGATATTTACACAGTGATAGGAAAATTTAACTATCGATGCCTGATGGAAATGTTTAAGACGTAATAAATATTTGTTAACATGTAAATCACCTTGAAATATTTTTGAATTTTCCATTGCATATTGGTCAGAGTAATTAATACCATAAAGTTTAAGACTACAGGAGAGTGAAATAAAAACGCAAATGACAACAGAATGTGCTTATAAGTTGATCTTACGTTTCTGCTTGGATACTATCCTAAAAATTCAACAAGACAATTAACAGAACTGTACTTATGCGGGCAGAGAGAAGTAATTCATACATACGTCTGACCTAGGCCGAAATCGCACCATGAACGGTGCTGTCAGACCAAGTGTTAAAAAACCTAACACTAATGTTAATTGATACCGTTTTTTTGTTTGATCTGGATGTATTTTATCAAACCAAATGTTTGTCATAGCTTGTACACAACCTGGCGAACCAACAAAGCTTTTACAGCCAGCATCGACAGCAACCTTAACAAAAAATAGACGACATTCCTTTGTGTTTTTTGCAGATACAGGATAAAGTTAAAGGACTAACCTGTAAACATGTCACATCACCAAATAGATCAATTTGTCTTAATATTATTTCACATGAACAATCATAATCATTTCTATGACATCTTTCTAAACATTCAATAGCAGATTGTTCGAAATAGTCCGCAGATTCTGTTAATTTAGCTTTTGTGTCACTAAAGGAAGCATAATCATCACGATAGTTTTTAAAATTTTTGTTGCGATCAATGCAGCGCAAATACGATATTTCATGTGAGCTAGCATGACTTTTGCCGTTTCAATATAATTCATTAATATTTTGAATTTTAATGCACGTAACAATACTTTTTCTTTATACTATGAGAAAAAAAAACAAGTAGTGATATCAGTTTGATCAACGACTGGGGACAAGATATCGATTTACAATAAAGAGTAAACCTCCCCTCATAATAAAAGACCCCTGGTCTTCTATTATTTTCTAGCATACAAATTTTTTAGGGGATCTTCTATTACGAATTTTTGTGCATAAAGAGTCGAATATCGTTACTATATTTTATATACGATTAAGTAAGTTCACTACGACTATGATCAGCTGGAGCCAAAGATTTTTCTTTGGAATCGGTTCTTCGCGACCGATACCAGGCAAAAAGTCGATTATCAAGATCAACAAAAACAAGCTTTTTATCAATTTTTTCTTTCCTACGAAGAAAATATATTCTCTTTCTACAGAAATAAAATATTGCTTCTTCTTTATTCTTTGTGACTTCATTCTCCATTAGACACGATTCAACAATAAGTTGACGAAAATAAGTTATGAAAGAACGGTGTAAAATGACTGGTAATAGAAATACTGACTGTTCATCAGTAACACACTAATCAAAACAAAATTCTTTCCCTTTCTTTTCACAAATTTTCAGGTGTTAAGCACAGTAGTGTTCTATATTTTTCTCTGAAAATAACTCTATGAAGAGTTGAAACGTCACATTTTTTTTAATTAAATAAATTTAAATTCAATATATGGCTGCTGTAAATCTAAAAAATGTTAAAGGGGTTCCAAAGGATTCATTACAAGACCCGGGTCTTCTATTTTGAATTTCACATCGTTCCCGTAGAAAGGTCTTCTATTATAGGAGGGTCTTCTAATATGGAAGGGTCTTCTATTATGAGGGGAGGTTTACTCTTTATTGTAAATCGATATCTTGTCCCCAGTCGTTGATCAAACTGATATCACTACTTGTTTTTTTTTCTCATAGTATAAAGAAAAAGTATTGTTACGTGCATTAAAATNCCCCCCCCCCCCCCCCCCCCCCCCCCCCCCCCCCCCCCCCCCCCCCCCCCCCCCCCCCCCCCCACTATATTAAAGAATTAAAACATTTTGTTGAGCTGAATTTTTAAATCAAGCATTCTTAAGGAAGCTTCTCACAGCGAAAAGTCCGTTCTTCACAAAGACTACAATATTGAGTTTCGGCAGCATGTTAGTAGCATGTTAGCCCTCTATAACTTGCTGTAACAAAAGCAATCTTCAGTTCGATTTTGCACACCAACAACAAATTATTATTACGTTAAAATATTTTACAGAAAAAATAATGTACAATGATGAAATAGTAACAGTTAATAATAATATCTAATGGTTGTTGATGATAATTGATAATCTGCTTCTCTTCAATTGATGACGATCGATGAGGAGAAGGAGCGCAGAACGAAATTATAGTAATGCAAATGAAAACACTAAATTATATTTATAATTGTAGAAGAATATTAAAGATAAATTAAATGTAAAATTTGGTTTATATTAATTATAAACTTAAAGTATTAGAACTTCTTCTTTTCTATGATAAAAGACGAAGAAGATTGGAAATGATGAAGATGAGAATTCCTCTTCTCTTCAGACGAGAGAAGAAGAAGTCGAAGAAGTTTACAATTTTAGTTTAGAATTTTTGAAGAAGACAAAAAACGGATTTTTTTTAATGAATTGTCGACACGAAGATAATGTGTCTCCACATTTCGTGTCACTTTGAAACATAAAATAATAATAAAAATCAATTATTAATTGATTTCACTCTCTCTATACAAAGAACGCATAGAAGAAGTTTCTCAAACTGTTTAAGAGAGAGAAATAAAATATGTAATGGCAAGCGGCCGCTACAGGGGAGAGGGGTACAGTTCCAAAGACAAATAATATAAAAATGAATTATTCGCCAAATGAAAGCTCATCGAAAACGGGGTTATCGTGTGTAACTCGTAATTCATAGGTTGATTATGAGCTATAGAATTATGGAAGTTTCTAGCGGGTGCGTTCAATCGAAAAATTAGAAAAGGCATAGTTTTGGTTTTACAGAAAACATTTTGTAAAACCGCAGGGTTTTGTGAGATTTCTTTTTAGATTTCCTGTAAACAGGATAAAGAATAGCTTAAATACTCCACATTCTGAAATCTTGAAGTCGTTCTGATGTTTACTGAGTGATTAGCGAATTTTTTAATATTATGTGAAAACAGCCTGAAAACACAAATTTTCGTAAAACTCGCTTTTTGGTAGAATTTTAAAACTTTTTTAGAAACAAATATTGCCACGAGACGCAGCGTGGTCGATTACGCATAGTTCATCCGTCTTGAAGGCTACCAATCGTCACTGGGTGCCAGTCCTGGGATTCGTAGGAAATCCGATACAACGTCCGAAACGTGGAAAATCAAGACCTCACTTGACTCTCAATTTGAAAAGGACACCCTGGGCTATCAGTCTGTGAAAACAAATCAATACAATCCTGTTGGAAAATTTCTACACGCGAGCTACTTTTCCAAAGATCCGCTGGAAAACCTGTTCTAGAAAGCTCTTCTGGCAAAATTTTGATTATGAGAACATGTCCCCAAGTCTCCTCTTTCGAATGGTGAAAATTGAAGCTCTTTAGCTTTTTCCTATCGAAAGTTATTCAGAAAACAGTCATATACCATTCTTTTTTTGGATGGACAATACTATACAGATCTCTTTTATTCTTTACTTTCAGTTCTTTTTGTCAATTGTACAGAAAAGCTGCAATTCACTCAAATGTTTTCGAGTTGTTGTAACGCAAAATGTTTTTCGAGTAGCATGCTCGGGAAAGCGTTTAGTCGATGTTTTGCTAACGCACCTTACTTTCGCTTTTTCGTTGTTAGCGTCTTTTAAGTCAACAAAAATTTATTGAGAACATCCGAGAATGAACTGCATCTACGACGAATCTAACATAAATACACAGAAAAATGCGTCGAACTGTCATGTATATAATAAAAAACAACGCATTCCAAAACATCGACAACATTCCTGAAAGTTTTCAAGAATTAAAAAATCGCCTATTCTTCTTGTTTTCACGAGTAAAATAAACATTATAAATGAAACTGTTACATACGTTAAAGTAAATACTGGTGCTAATGTGACTGAAAACAATCCCCATCAATCAGTTTACTTCGCAACTTTACTTCGCATATTTATATTTTTAATTTGTATAACGGATGGTGTCTGAAATGTTGATTTTATACCATTTACACCTAGTTTAAATGGGTAACCATCATGATCGGATTTTAAATCAGATAAACGAAATTTTGAACGATCTGTTGATTTAGCATCTGCATTATTTGATTTTAATTGCATCAGAACCCGATGTAAGAAAATCAAGAGCAGGAATATCTTTTCCCATGACTGTTCTTGTAGTAATGAACAGCAACAGATGCAATAAATGATTGAACATTGTTTGTTTGTTTCTTGCTAATCAGAAGGCATAAAAATGACAATTAGCATAAGAGAGTTTCTTAATAGTTTGGATAAAACTTACTTTAATTAAACAAAATTATCAAAAATTCTATCTTAATCGGTTTTTGTATTAACAAACGCCGTGGTTTGATTTATTTTTATTATTAATTTATTATGATGTCTATTACGTTTTCGTACATATAGGACTAGAATAGACTGTTTTTAGTGATTAGGGATCTAATAGCGGTATTACATTTCTATACCGGCACAATATTATCTATTCAAAAGTATATTCCAATAACACGAAAAGTATTTTCGCTTTCATTCATGCTCGTTCGCTTTAGCGCGTGGCATATTGAATTGTATCTTATCAGGACACTTCGAGTTTTTAGTGGTTAAAGCTTCAATAACAAACGAATGGAACAAGCTTGAGTTGATCGAGATGCCATTTATTTATTCATCGACTATTTAGCCGATAAAAACTATGTTTCAAAACTATTCGTCGTAAACCTCCTTGTTCATTCTTATGGCCGCAATACTGGCATACTATGTTAGAGTGGCACTTATCGAGATGTTCCTGCAATAATGAGCAATGAGTTATCGTTTGCTTCCCGTTTGCTCAGACGAAGGAGATCTATAGATGCTCCGATAATCCAAGCAATCCTTTGAAACTATTTGTTCAAACTTTCGAAAGTGATTATTTTAGAGGTCAGATTCCGTAATGTAATATTTAAATTAGTAGTACTAAACTGTAGTGTCATGACTGTGGAATTTTTGTCCATCAACTAAACGAGCTACATTAACAAAACTCTTGATTTTGCTCCATTTTTTGGATACAGTTAGACTATTGCATTTTTCATATCTCAAGACAATCGACATTGCATCCAGAATCAGACTTTTCATACAGCCAAGGTATTTAGAGATCATAACATCATAGTCGAAAGCATCAATTCGTTTATTACATCAAAAAGAGAACACATATTGTGAGCAAAAAAAAAAGTGAGAGTAAAATAAAATTAAAATATATGATAAAAATTTAAAGGTTGGGTTTGAGAATCACTTTAACACAACCATCTTTCTTCTCGTCAAATATTTTGTACATATCTGGGGCTTTTTCCAGTGGCATCGTATGGGTTAACACAAAACTTGGGTCCAGTTTTCCACTTTCTATCAATGGTAACAATATCGGCCAATACTTTTGACACGGCGTTTGACCACCAGCCATTCTCAGACCTTTTTCCATGAACGCACCGATGTTGAACCCATTGGTCGTGCCGACATAGATACCCACAATCGAAATGATTCCACCTTTACGCACGGCCATTATCATTTCGTTTAACATTTCCGATGGATCCGTTTCGAGACCAACAAGCATTTGTGCCTTGTGTGCTGTGGTGCGTGAATAATGAAATCCAACTGCTTCAATTGCCACATCTGGACCATTGGGCACCATTTCTTTTAGTTGTTCAAGTGTCGAACGTTTAGAAAAATTGATTGTTTCAATACCGGGCAAATGTTTCTTGGCATAATCGAGACGATATTGTTCATTGTCGATTAAAATGACACGTCCTGCCTTTTTGTACTGTGCTGAGAGAGCGGCCAGCATTCCTACTGGTCCACATCCCCAAATAGCCACCGTTTGACCTTTGCTTACTTCGCCCATCTCAGTTGCATGCCAACCTGTTGGCAGAATATCGGAGAGAAACAACACTTTCTCATCAGGCAAACTGTCGGGTACTAACAAGGTATTGCTATCGGCGAATGGAACACGAACGTATTGTGCTTGACCACCATCCCAACCACCAGTAATATGAGAATAGCCAAACATTCCTATTTTTAAAATAATAAAGTTAAATATCCTTACAAATCAACTAAAAAGAAACGTACCTGATGTTCGATGCCCATATAATTTCTCTTGTTCTTTCGAATCATTTGTGCTGTCACAACTCGAGAACAATTTGTGATCAGTACAATAGACACATCTATCACAACCGATATCAAATGCCGTCACGACACGATCACCTTTTTTGAGATTTTTCACTTCTGAACCAATATCTTCAACAATACCCATGAATTCGTGACCTAAAGTATCGCCTTTTTCAAGACCGGGCACATAATTGAGATACAAATGCTAAACACATAAGAAAATATTAGTTCTGAAAATGTATAAATAGTCGACTTACCAAATCAGAGCCACAAATAGCGGTCGATGTTACTTTGAGAATAACATCTTGTGGATCAGTTATCATCGGTCTTGGTCGATCAACAACTCGAATATCTTTTGAGCCGTGCCATTCGACCGCTTTCATTGTAAGATTTGGATGATACTTTGGTGTTATTGTACATCCGGAAGTTGAACGACAGGTTTTTTCGATACTCGGCATGGTGATATTATTTGATGAAATGTGCTTTTCTCATATGAAAACTGTGCATGTTTATATACATAAATAAGAACAATGGACGTCGAAATGGTATACATTTGTAGATATTTTTCTATGTATAGTTAGCTATCGATATCGATAAGTGTATTGTTGTTGAAAGAGAAAATCGAACATTAATTTTGCCATTTTCCATTATTCTTTTTTATTTAGCCGTCATCTTTACATAAGTGACGATATTTTGATTTATCCATGACTGAATAATTTTAGAGGAAAGGCTGAAAATTTCACATCATCAGCGAATACTTCATATATATTCATCGAAATATTTTTACTAAAATGTGATGAATAAGAGGCATACCTCGATTCAAACATAAAAATGTTTCTTTGTTTTGATAGCATTTATCGATATGTATAACATATAAAATATCAGCTGCCTAAATGTATTTACTTCTTCAGTACGCTAGAGAAACGTGATTTTTGAAAGTTATTGAAAACTACATATTTATTAAATCTTTAATTTTATATCCTCTAGTATATCTAAATGATATTAATCAGAGTTCACTAACGTGATTTTAAATTTATAGTTTCGCTCGTATGAAAAGTAAACGAAAGTTGACTGTAATTCAATGATTATCATTCTATAAAATATAAACATCGTCAATATGATGATATACTATTCGTTGATAACTTGAAAAGAATTACATTCACTTTTTGTATATGAATTTTTTAGAATATTGAGAATGACAATTACTATAACAAATACTCAGTTTTTTTACATAGACATACTGTATTTACAGAAGTCATCTTGAAAGAATGTTCACTGTAGAGATAGATACTTTTATTTAATATTTACATGTGAACGGGGATGAAAAAGAAAATTGACGACTATAGAATAGTTCCTCCATGTATATACACATTCCATATTCTTTTTTTTCTTCCATATCATTCACGTGTTATGTTCCATACAGTCTAACAGTCACTACTAGGTCTTTATAAGCAACAAATGTAAATGTTAAAACTTTGGTCAAAAAAGAGACATTTTACGTTTAAAATGTTTCTTTTATCAGCTGCGCCAAAACAGAATTCTGTTTTGGCGCAGCTGATAAAAGAAACATTTTAAACGTAAAATGTCTCTTTTTTGACCAAAGTTTTAACATTTACATTTGTTGCTACAGGCCTATTGATGCGATGGAAAAATTGTTTAAGAGTTGATCTACATTTTACATTTACAATCTTTGTTTTATCAGCTGCGCCAGAACAGAGAAAGGATGATACATAAAGGACGCACGTCGTCTTTTTGCTTTTATTTCTTTCGCTTCTACGTATATTCTGTGCGCAGAAGAAAAAGATAGAAGATGTTATTCTTTTCATGGTTTGATACAATTCGATATCAGATGACGAACTTAAGATATTCTCTTAAAGAGCGAAAGATACCAAAAGCTGATAACGAAGTATATTTTGTCGTGATTGCAAATATGATACTAAGATACTTTACTTAAACATTTCACTTAAAATTTTTCACTCTACAAGATGTGATAGCGTGTCAAGCTCGAAACTATTTTAATTAATCTGTATTAATCAAAGAAAAACCAGAAAAATGGTAACGCTGTGATAAAAAACGGTCAAAAGTGTCACAGCGTTACCGTTTTTCTTTGATTAATACAGATTAATTAAAATAGTTTCGAGCTTGACACGCTATCACATCTTATAGAGCGAAGAATTTTCTACAAACTGGTATAATTGTTCAATGTCTACCAGCTCGTCTTCACTCTTTTAGACACGCGTTTCAGATAGCTCCAAAATCGATTTTTGTTTGTACAACAGCTGTATTTTCATAACGAATCAACGTTCAGAGCTGAGACACTTTTCATTTTGCAGAGAAATGTTTAATCTACTTAATTATCTAGTTGCCATTTTAGATTAGTTTGTAGCTTTATTGCAATAACTTTTCAAAAAAGAGCAAAAAGTGGAGGCCGTTAGCTGGACAAGCCTAATGTTAACTGTTAGAGTCTCGAATACTGACACAGTATCGCTCGTATAACGAGTAGCAGCATGGTTGATCTCATTACAGGAGTATATAGTCTCTTGAGCATTTGATATGCGTGTTAGGTGTATATTTTTTTTTACGTGTTTGTCAATCGAATTATGTCTCTTTCTCAGCTGTGTAAAAGATTCATCTTCTAGGTTCACCTGAAAGTCCTGTTTCAAATTCATTTTTTTCTTTCGAAAATAATTGTCAACTTGTTGTTAGTACGTGATACTGTACATATTAACTCACACTCATCTTCCCTCCCCCACCCTCTCACAGTGGGCATTCAAGCGGACATTTGGCCAAAAAGTCGAAAATGAGCTTTTTCAAATTTGAACCGTCAGACATGTAGCTCTTGAAAAGGGCTATCGAATGGTGTATAATGATCGACTGATAATGGA